CTTGTAAAAGTAATTCACTTCTAAAATCTTCTCTCCATGAATAAACTTGATGAACAGCAGATTGTCATTGTGCTTGAAAACAGGAAGTAAGCACAAGAGCTTGTCCTTTAGGGAGACAAAGGACTGCCTCTCCATTTACTCCAGCTGGTCTTCTATTTCTGAAAATGAAACTGCCTTTCAGCTTTGAGTGGAGCTCTCTTTTAAACAGAGCTGGGCAAAAAAAGTCTATGAAAAATCAGAACTTTTCAATAACTGTCAATTTTGACAGAAGCTGATTTGAGCAAAAATAGAAATGAAGATTTCTGGTAATGTCAAAAACTTCCTGTTTCAATATTTTCCCAATTATATTTTTTTTAAATTTCAAGTGACTTTTTAAAAAACTTTATATTATAAGACTCAAGTCTGAACAGAACTTTTTTATCTTTAATAAAAATCATATTTTTATTAAAAATTTCAAAATCAAATTCAAGATGGATTTTGAAGTTACAGAATTCCCTTTGGAAATAAAATGTCATGGTTCTGAAAAATATTTAAAACATTGTCACTTTGGATCCAGTACTCGTGCTGGCATCTTGAAAAATACTATCATAAGAACATAAGTTGCTTATGAACTTCACCTAAGATGGAGCTTATTGTTCAAAACGAAAGCTACAGAAAAAGTTATCAGGAAAATAGCATTTCCAAACAGCATAGATCTATACCTTTGACTATCAGGAGTTCCTTTAATTTGTATCCATTGAAGAAACCAAGTAGGAACAAGGGATGCATACTGAAGAGTAAAATTTTACATGAAAAGGTAGCAAAATGTGTGCCTGTACCATCTAGTAGCAGACCTTCTTTGCACTAGACCAATTTTCTACTTGTTATTTATATCAGCTTTTTAACGCAGTTTGGTAAAGTGCTAGGAGACCAGACTATTTCAAAGACTGAGTAGCACATGGAACCAAAGAATTTTAAACATAATTCAGAAAAATATCCTCATCTGAAATGCTTTTTCAACTTTATATCCCACTCCTCGTGACTTCTGCAACTCGTGTTAATGGAACTCCTTTCCGATACCAAGTGGAGTGATGCTTTCTCCAATACAGATTTCCTGTCTGGCCTCCACAGTCTTATACACATACACAGTCACACACACCAGTACCACTTATACATATTTGGTCTAGATTTTTCTTCTCTCAGATTATCCTCATAATTATCCCCTTTCTAAATTTTTTCCACCTTCATATTAGGACTCTGCCTCCCACAGATATGTTAGCAGATTGCCTAAGTTTCCAGACTCAAGCCACCACCTAAGCGAAGATGAAAACAAAAACAAAAAAATCAATGCTGAAGCTTCAGTGCTCATGAAGCCTGGCAAATTCAACACATTGGACAAACTGCTATTCCTTGGTCGTTGCATGCAGACATAGAAAACTGAGAGCTAAAGCCCCATAAAGTAATCTGGAAGATATCTGAAAAAAATACTAAAAATTCATCCAAACAAAACAAAACAAAACAAACCATGCCTCTTGAGAACTCTGAGAGTTAGTGCCTACCCTGAGATGGAACAGGCATGCTAGCTGAGATTGGGTTCACGTTCTCTTTGTTTTGGAGATAAGTGATGTGTTTATTATTCCTTAGATTGCTCTTGCAGTCTCACATTTTCTCTGGCATCTGTTGCACCAGTTTCCTGGCCAACTTATTTACATGGCTATGAAGAACGCACTTGGAGAGATTTTTCTGTTTGGGAGGTTTAGTTATAAGGATAGCTTTCCTGCCAGTTCTGACAGGGAGGACACAGATGGATAAGACTGTCGGAGGTGTGGCCATATTTGTATCATATATATTGGCTTCACCTACTTTCTCCTGACAAGCTACAAGACAGAAATGACAGGGATTCTTTTCCTATTTGACACCAAGTCAATGACTCATAACAATATTCCTATTCATATGGCCTTACCTCTGCAGGTGATTGCAAAACCTGACTGGGCAAGAGATCTGGGTCATTGTACCAGCTCTCCTTTAACAGATAACTGATTCTCTGTAAACTGTGGTGCAAAAGCAAATAGGGCTTTTACTTGGAACAGAAGTTAGACCCTAGCTCAAAGCTTGACAAACGTGTTTCTCGAAGTGACAGATTGTGAAAATCAAAGGGAATTGTCACACATGCCTCTCTACTATACCTTGAAGGTTTCAGACTTGCTCCCTATGACCATGGTGGGAGTGGCAGAAGTATCTCAGGAGGCTTCCAATTTCTAACCTAGTAGCCTGATTCATAATTTAAATCACACTGACACATGTGGGCAAAAGGTTCCTGGTGAGGTAATCTAGCCAAAAATTATATTAAAATCCACTTTCTGTGGATACTTTTTGGGTGGGCAGGGAATAGCCCACAAATGGCTTTACTTAAAAAACCCATGCTTCATTTACCCCAGTTCCAGTAATTTCATAGCTAGTTCTGAGTTGGTTCATTTTACCGCCCATACTCATTGAATTCCTGACCTTGAACGCAGAGAAGTTACAAGCTTACATGCCTATTTTCCCAAGGATCCTTCTTTATGATGCAGCAGACCTTGCTAGCAGAGAAGAGAGTGAACTGCATGCTGACATTACCTTTTCCTGAGGAAGTACCACTGTTATTCACTTTTCCCAATCATGCTATAAGTTCACTAGGAAGCAGCAGTTGCTCCAATTCCACATTTTCACCACTCTGCAGAATCGGACAAACAAAAGAAAATAGCAAGATTTTGCAGACTGTAATGGGATCTCATTCTATATCAGATCCACTTGAATTATCTGGTAGTGACCTCCAAAGTTTCTATAGGGTTACAGCTTCTTCTGCACTCTCCTCGGCAACTTAATTATATGACACTGTGCCTTAGGAAACAAAGATATACATTCCAAAGAAACAAGGGCAAAAATTACTCAGATAGCTCTGAGCTCTGGAATGCTGTTCTTTAAAAAAAAAAAAAAATCTTCAAAACAGGCTTCAGGATTTTTTTTAAAGAAAATTGCAAGCCAGGAGAAGAAAGTAAACCTCACACTAGTGGTGTCAATCCCAAGACAGTGCCAAAACAGGGCCAGAGAAGTAAATTTTCCTGTTGAAGTAGGGTTTTTTTGTTTGTGTGTTTTTTTTATTATTTTGGTTTCCTCTAATTCTTGCTCAACTTTTACATGCTACAGTAGCTCACAGTATAAGAATGTGATTGATGCTCATTCCACTGATGATTTCTTCATTTTAAACAGGATAGCAAGTGATATTGACTCCCTGTTTGCTGTTGATCCTGAGAAGGCACTGGCTTTATCTTATTTACCTTTTTCAGAGCAGATAGGAGTCACTGAGTTTTACATTCCTTATGGGAGAATAGTCTTCATTTTGCAGCTAGACCGATAGTTCTGCTGGACCCTGTTAGGGATGAAGCTGTCTTTAAATATTCACCTCAGGATTATCTTTACCGCTCACCTTGGTGCATAGACGACTGCTAACTGTTTAATCAGGCAAAAAGTAATCTTGAGTGCTGGTAGCAAAAATCCTCTTCAGAGTGTAATGAATTGTGACAAAGCACTTTTGTAATTTTGCTCTGCTGATTATTGCAGGGATAGAAGTATTTCTCCTCTATTGTCACACTAGTCAGATGAACTAAAATAATGGGCATTGTTACTACTGTATAGGTATGAGTATTGTGTATAAGCTGATATGACTTATGAAGAGAAAACATCTGTATCTAAGAGGACCTAATATAACAGCTGTTCTCATAATTCTTTGATTTTGGTTACTCCGGATTTCTGTTTTCCCCATGACTTCATATAGATGATTTATGAGGCACTGTGATTCCATTAGTCACAGGGGAATGAGAATCGTCCAAGTTTATAGTCTAGGCTGGTGTGTGGCTGCAAGTTACCTAGGTGGACTTCAATCTAGATATACTGGAGGTGTAGAAAAACTAGGACAGGAAGTGATATCCCTGTAAGTGGACAATGTTCACCAGGGAAGTAAGATATAAAAAAAAGCTTCAAAAATGGGATAAAGAGCTCCTCCTCTATTCAGCTATATCCCCTTAAGGACCTTTACACTTCTAACTTCTGGACCACTTGCATTTATCCAAACATTTGCCAGCTCTAGATTGTGTTAGCAAAATGTATCCTGACATCTTGAAAATTGCTGAGAAATAAAAGCTTATGAGAATAGCTTTGTCCTTTTATAAATCTCATAAGAAGGGCTTTCAGAAGCTTGCATTTGCTTCTAATCCCTAAGCTACATCCAAAGTACTGGCTCACAATGCTTTTAATCTCGCATATCCTATATTCTCCTCATTGTGATCTAGGACTTGTGTAAGTCATTTTCATGCAAAAAAATGTTTGCTAAAAAAAATGTAGTTGCGGTTTAACTGAAATTATTTGCCAAATAGGTGGATCATTTTGATCAAGAGAAAAAAAATAAATTTGCATTTCTGACTGCAAAACTGAGCTAATTTTTAAAAATATCTTTAAAATTATTTAGTATGAGACAAAATATTTTATTCAGTCTGAATTAAGGTATTTGGAGGTTGTCATTCTAGCAGAAAATGAGTCTAGGGAAATTTGTTTCAGTGTCAGTTAAGCCAGACTTAAAAATCTTAATAATTCTTTTCACAGAGAAGGTGCCTACAACTTTAGTGAACAGTTTCAGTTGATGTCATGTTTCTACCAGGAAACAATTCTCAAATCTGTTTGATCACAGGAAGAAAACTAATGCTGCACTGGGTTTCAAAGACATATGCCAATCCCTATGCATTTACTCAGGTTTAAGTGAAGCACAGAGCTTTAGTGATAATGATTTTAGCTTTAGTCATGAGGAAGATGTGAATTTATTTTACTGTTTGCTTGGGAAGGAAATATTCTGTCTGCAGAAGATAACACTGGATTCCTCCAGTGGATGCTGTTCAGTTTTTTACTGAAATAAAAGCCTATGTGGCTTTTTCTTGTATAAGAAGTAGCTGTCTTAAAATCCACTAATTCCTTGTGTGGTATCTATTTAGGTACATCTGTTATTCAAGTGACAGCCACAGATGCTGATGATGCCAACTACGGAAACAGTGCTAAAATTGTGTACAGCATCCTCCAGGGACAGCCGTATTTCTCAGTGGATCCAGAAACAGGTTAGCAAATCACGTGGTCCTACTTTTTGCAATGACAGAGATAGGATACAGGGATCAAGATATTTTTAACCGTATTCCAATTTCACAGTAAGTTTATGACATGAAATGACTTACATTGTGGAAGTACTTACACTTTTTCTAAATAGGAATTTGAATTACAGGTAAAGTATCCTTTTTCTTAAAAAAAAAAAGAAAAAAGAAAAAAGTTATTGTAGAAGAAGAACTACCGCCCTTTATGTGGATAACACTTCCAGAAGTTGTTCACTGTAAGAGTCTACCATTGAGAAAGGGTGTAAAGGATTCAAAGAACCATGAAAGTAATTAAAAGTTTATTTTACACCATTTTCTGGAATTTTCATCTGTTCATTTTAAAAAGGGAGCTGAACAAGTTCAGATCAGAAGGGGAAAAAATCCACAATGGCAAAGGAAGTATATATTTATAAATGTCTGTAATAGATTCTTGATCATTGCCAATTTTTAAGTCAAGGCATTTGGTAAAACTATGCTCTGGTTCTAACACTTATTAAAATTAAACAAGATTTAATCTATGGAAGCCCTTGAAACTCTTATACAGGAAAATAGATAAAAATCAGACAAACACATGAAAAAATCCTGTAAACTTTGGCTACATGTATCCAAAATTGTGGTTCAAAACAAAGAAATTAGCAGATACCTAATCCTAAATGCAAGTAAGACTTAGTAGACATGACCTTGTTTTGCCTAACAGTTCTCTTTCTGCACATGAATAAAATCATTTTGCTTTGAGAATTTAAGTGCAATGGTACCCATGCTCCCTGAAGTTCCCAATCCCGTGGACATGCTTGGAAGATGCCTATCGTATCTAATTTCCTTTTAAAACAATTTATTTGTGAAATACAGCAAGGGGATGCCAAAGGGATAATAAGATTCACACGGTTACAGTATTAACAGGGCACTTATCTAGGATTAAAATGTTAGGGATTTTTTTTTCCACCTTCTCCTTTCTTCATCTTTTTTCTCCAAGCCCAGACATGAGCATGAAAACAGGGAGCAGTGCCACATGGTCATTACCATGACCAAGGATCACCACAGTGAGCATCACGCTGATTAACATCAGCTGATGGTGAAAAGAGACAGATGATCTGGGTTCTCATCTTTGGTTCCAGGATTCTCTTTTGTTTTTATCCAATTTGCTTTTAAATGTTAAATGCATTGACAGGCCTAGGTATAGTAGTCAGAACCCAGTAATCCTGGATCAGAGATAAATGCTATAGCCACTAGATTAGAGAGAGTTTATCTTCTTTGTGTCACTTTCTTTCTAGGACTAGGTGTGCTACAGTCTTTCCTGCATAATAGCGCAGTTTCCATACCAAACCTAGCTTGCAAAGAGCTCTCCTTCTGGAGAGGGGAAAGACAGGGGCATAAATCCTCCAAGCCAAAAAGGACACCACATTTGATTCTCCCACTTCACAAGAGACAGTTCTCATTACTTGAATCTGACAAAGCCACCACCTTTTTAAATATAAAAAAGCACTCCTTTTTTTTTTTTTTTCTAAAGAAAACCTGTGAGTGTCTACTTTCATGACAAGATTTTCTGTGATATAGATCAGAAAAGCATGGAGATTACTTCTCTGTTTAGGGTATGGGATTTTGGGCTTTCCCACCTCAGGTCCCCGTCCTTCTTGTGCGTTGTATAAATTACTGAGACATTTAAGTTATGTCTACGGAACTCTTATCTGAAGATGAGACACCGAAATGCAATTTTCCAGCATAAATTTTAAAAGCTTATCCAGTTATTTTGTTACCTATAGGCCTAGATGACCACCACAGCTCCCGTTTGGTATTAAAATCTATAGATCTACTAGCCTGAAATAACTAATCCATGACAAGATAGAGTTCAGCCTTGCGCTATAGTGCCAAAATCTCACCAGGGCTGGAAGTTGCATATGTTATTAAAATATATAGGAAAAGTAGCTGAATTGTTTCATTAATTCAACAACTACATATATTTTTTTCATTAGAAGAGTAATTACATTAATTTAACACATCATAAACAGCAAATAATATATTTGTTATGTTTCTTGCTCTTTTCTTAAAGTCAAATTAAACTAGTAATAGATTGAAAGCCAAATACCTTACATTGGATTTATTTGCTTGATATGCATTAACGTCTGCACAGTTTTAAAGCAGTTAAAGTGTGTGGGTTATTTTTCTCCTTATCCTTCCCCTGTCTCTTTTCTCTTTTTTTCTCTCTTTTTCTCTTTTCTCCAAGGCATAATCAGAACTGCTTTACCGGACATGAGCAGGGAAAACAGGGAACAGTATCAAGTGGTCATCCAGGCCAAAGACATGGGAGGCCAGATGGGAGGACTGTCGGGGACCACCACCGTGAATATCACGCTGATTGATGTCAACGACAATCCTCCTCGATTCCCCCAGAGTATGGAACATCTAATAGTTCTATTGTTTGAATTTCAGAGAACTTCTCTACAAGCACTTGTTTCACTGTGACCATCTGAGATCTTCCCCCCCACCCCCCCCTTTTTTTTTAATATAAGCCTACTGCTGTGTCTGTTTATGCTGCAGCATTATTAAGGCAAACGAGAATTTCCATCTCTCATTTTAAAAGGCAAACTATTTCTAGAAAAATAAACTTACTTCCCATCTCTGTTCACAGTAATGTTAGCAGCAACAATAACCTAGGATAATTGCAGGGATTTGAAAGACCTTATAGAAATTTCATGACAACATCTAGGGCTCAGTTTTTGAAGACGCAGTCCCACATGTTTAGGCAAGGAAATAAGTCACCAAATTTTCCAGCCTACCAGCTTGCACAGTCAGAGTTGGTAGGGGGTATGCTCTGCTGGAAATCCCACCACTTGATTTAGGTACTTGTAATTCAGGTTCAGCTCTTGATGTTGAATGCTTTTGATAATCTAGACCACATTAGACATGACTAAGGATTTTAAAAATATCTCTGTAGACTGAAAACTGGCCAACAACAGAAAGTTGCATAATAGAGAAATTTTCACAATATACCACAGATCCTTTCATCCTCTGTCACTGGTTTAAAACTAATCCCAAATTGTTATAATCAGCATCTGATAACTGTTTGATAGTCTGTAGATATAGGAAACGTACTGCTTCAGTTCAGCATACGCTGGGAAAAGGTCCATATTATAAAATTTGAATTGCTTGTTGGCACTGATTGGGGGACCCGCCTCGCTCTCTTAACAGATTCACCAAGGACGGAAGAAATAAGTCTGATTTTGAAAACGCTCTCCTGGACTTACAGAAATTTGAAAAGCACTTCAGTGCCAAGGCAATAACTACAATCAGAATAGTATAAACAAGTCATCCTAGAAAAGATTTCCTAAAACGCTAAAAAACTCTGAAAGTATGGAAGAGAGGTTTCTTTAAGTTGAATATAATGTTTTAATCTCCTTTCATGACAACAGATTGCTTTTTAAAAAACAACAGCGGGGGGTGGGGGGAAGAATAGCACTGAGGGTCTTATAAAGTAAATATCATTATTTGAATTCACACTCAGAGTTTACCTGCTGAGAGTCACCTTCACAGGGCAAACTCAAGCCACAAATTCTTAACCAGCTTTCCTGTTTGACTGTAGAAGCCATAATATTTTTTGGCAAATAGGAATCCTTGAACCTCGATTAGAATTTGATGTATTGCATTGTAGGCTTGGCTGCTGAGTTTAAAACAAAAAACAATAAAAAAGAGAGATTAAAAAAGATAAAAGTATGAAAAATTCATAGAACTGCAAAATAACTTTGGTTTCTCAGGCTCCTTAGCCTTTGTTACTTCTGGTGCTCCTCTTTCAAGTCTAGCTGAAGTCTGATCTGAAAAACTGTGAAGTCTATAGAAGTTCTGAAGATTTCAATAACCTTTGGTTTAGGTCCTTAATTTTAGAGAAATTCACACAGTTCGATGCCTCGCAAAATACTCTCTGTAGCTTGCTATTTTAAACTTCACTGAAACACACGGCATGGGCTACAGATGACCTGCTTTGGGATCAATGCAGAGGTGTAATTTTCATTTTGCTGATGACCATTCACTCTCATTTTCTTTTTCCTCAGCAGGGCAGTTTTCAATACTTCATGGTAAATCAAATATAAAGAAATATCTGAAGGTTTTGAGTTCTTCTCAGATAGTTATGAACTGGAGCATGTTTTCAAAGTGCTAAGTAGTTCTGGGAATCTGCTCCTTCTGAAAACAATAACTTTCCTTTTCCTCTCATGTGAGGCAACCATAAGTGAACATGTGGCCTAAAGCAGAAGGTGAATTGCAAGTGGGGCCAACAGGAATTTATGCCAAGGTTCTGAAAAACTAAAGATTGGTTTCTTAGAGGAGATAGAAGAACGGAACGGTAGTGTGAGGCATCAGTTGTTCCGGCTGCAGTAAGGATGAACTAATTTTTGGCTTTATTTTGGCCTGAGCTGTGACCTTCTAACAGTTTAATGGCAGTAAGGGAAAAGGTTCTTTAAAGTTGCACCATAATGAAAATCTTACATTTTTGGAATTCATTGCACCCTACACCAAACTAACCGTCTCACATGCTAAAAATTTGCAGTGCCACACGCATAAGAAGTGCTTTCAGACACAAAAAGCATTTAAAGTAGTTATTTCTTCTGGAAGAAGTCATAAGTGGCATGATTAAATCTGTTCTTACAGTATTGCTGGCTCACCTGCCACACCCCCAAATTTGAGCAAGCCTTCAAATTTATGGTTAGCTGCCAAGAATCCTAACTTTCATCCCATTTTCAGCTTGTTTTAAGGCAAAAACATACATTTTAGTCTGTGTAGATTGCAGCCAAACAATCTACCGCTGAGCTTTCACTTAGAGCCTTACATTTGTAACAGCAAATACAATTTAGCATCAGGCATTAGCTTCCATTTTGTTACTTATCTATATAAATATAGGGTATTTCCAGTGACACTCTTTTGTACTTAAAGTATACAATTGGGGACAGAGAGTCATTCAGCACTCAAATGTCTGCTGCAGTCCTTGTACTTAAAAGGAACCTTTGGGACCTTTTAAGTGCCTTAAAAGAAAGCAAAGGACATGTAAATATAGGAAATGGACTAGCTCCAAAAAGATACTCAACTGTATTATAGTACAAGTCAATGCAATTTATACAGGTCCTTTCCAGACTATTCAAAAAAGGATTATGCATTTTGTCAGGTACCAATTTTGTCGGATCCAGACCTTTACGATGTTTTTCCAGTGCTACTACTTCACTCAGCAAATTGATATTAATTAACATAAGTAAATAGATGAAAATAAATACCGAGTTCTGGAATGTAAAATACTGAAAATATCAGAAAATTCTTACATTTTCTTGCTAGTAAACAACTGAAAATGCTAATTTAGAAACACATTATGTCTTACCAGTGATGAAAGTTCTTCATTGTCTAGTTCTAACTGGTCAATAAAACCATATGATTAATTCTTTTTCTGCAACAGCATGTCTTTATAATTACATTTTTATTGCAAATCTTGTCAGAAAATACATATAAATTCACTTTTCATAAACATATTCAAGATTAAAATGTCTATGTAATCAGAATTCTTTCTAGCAAAACCTGATTATAAAAACATTAAATGAAACCAACCATTAGAAGAGCGCAAAAAGTATGTGCAGAGTAAATTAAAGAAAATCTGAATGTATCTGCATTTCAATTAACTATAGCAATTAACATGAACATGTATCCAAATGCTTCTTACCATGACTCTTTAGTATGTATTACCAATAACGTCTGAATGAATTACTTTCAGATAAAACACCTAAAACTCTTGAACATATATTTCAAAAGGGAAGAAAAATCCTACTTTACTTTAGCCTCCTTCCAAAATCCTGACTGGTTTCTAAAACTCTGGTGTCTTGGGAAAACAAAACAAAATCCACACAGCTTTTATATTGGAACTTTTCTAGGAGATTGAGAAGGAGAAAAAAAAAATCTACACCATTAAATAATCAATGTTAGAATCAGTAACATATTATTGCGCTTTTGTGTCCCTTCTAGCTGAAGAATAAGGGGGAAAAAGCATTAAAAGCACGGTGCTAAATGGCTTTGAAGAGTCACTTGAAAATTTTTTGACAGCTTGTCAATCAACTCTGAAACCTATTTTAAAGTCTACTATGATGACTAATAGATTTTTTCTTAAAAAGTTTCAAACTCCAAGTTACTTAAAAAAATCCGGGAGACACTGGAGATGTTTATTATTCAGAAGAACAACGGTCCTTAAAATAATGCATACTTGAATTCAATCTTCCAGGTACCTACCAGTTCAGCTCTCCTGAATCTGCACCACCTGGGACTGCTCTTGGCAGAATTAAAGCCAATGACCCTGACTTGGGTGAAAATGCAGAGACTGAGTATAGCATCTCCAATGGGGATGGATCAGACATGTTTGACATCATCACTGACAAGGACACACAGGAAGGGATTATAACTGTCAAAAAGGTTTATTTTCTCTCCCTTTCTTTTATATGTACTTAGCTCTCCAGGTGTTATGGCTATTTTATCCTCTTCTAGGGGAAGGGAGGGTAGATCTCCCAAGAGGTCAGGCTGCCAAGCAGTTCCTGTATTAGTTTGGTTCTTCTCTTTCTTTGGCATATATCTGTTACTTTCAAGTCTTGGGGGAAATTTCCTGGCATGTCACTTCATATAAAGGAATATTTCAGTGGCTGCTGTCTTTTCAGTGTATATACTCTCACATACAGTGGTTTTGAATTAGGGCTGTGAAAATCTGGAGGGGTTCAGTTCACAGCGGGGCTCATCAGCTGAATGCTGCAGCAAGGCTCCCAAGGCCATGAGGTTTGCCTGAAGGTCTAAGTTTGATGAACTCACACCTCCAAGGGTAACCTGTTCCTTTCTAATCTATCTGACAGTCTACAGGAGTCTCTTATCCAGAATGCTGAGCTCAAACTTTCAACATCTCAAAACTCTTTTGGTTTAAGTCTAATCTTGGTGAAACTTAAGTTGCTGGATATCATGTCAATGGAAGCTAAAAAAGAAAAGGAATAGGCAGAAGTTTAATTCAAAATACCATCTCTGATTTATTGATTGCTTTTTAAAGTTCAGACTATTAAACTTACAAAAAGCTGTGATGGTGTTACCAAACTACTGCTAAAATTATTTTACATTGGAGGTTAGAATAGATCCCACAGGAAGGTTCATCTGATAATATCTAGTATGAACACTATGCTCAGTATTACTCTTTTCGTGTCAGTTATGAAAAATGTATATTTATTTAGAAAAGTATGTTTATATAGAATATAGATTTATATACATCTATTTTTAGAGATGTACACGAGTGTGTGTGTGCATGTATGTGTGTGTATGTATGAATGTATAGGAATATACACATTTATATACATATGGAACAAACCTGAATAGTTCAAGGATCATCCAGATTAGTTAATGAGCAGAACTGGCCCAAAATTGGAATGCCTAGTTCACATGGAATTTCTGTAATTCAGATCAAGGCTTTTTGGAGTCTACATACTTTACTTCTCTTCTCTAAAAACTTGGAAGTCTGGGTGATGCATTAGGAAACATTGACAGGTGCCATTACTGAAAGAGAAAGAAAAATATATTAGGACACAATCTTCAAAATGGAAACAACAGTTTTGTTAATCTTTCTCCTGAAAGTGGAATGTTGATCTCAGTCATTCATCAAGGATCACAGGCTCTGCAGCTTCTGTAGAGCTCTACCTTAAATCTAGCATTTCCCAGTTTTTAAGCGTTAAACTCCCTATAGCAGCATCTTTGATAAGTATTAAGCATAATAAGTGGAAAAGTGTGGATGCCGAGCTTATAATGTAGAGGTCACATATACTGGAAAACAGAGTTCAAAGTTTTTCTTTTCATTCTGGAATATAGAAGCCAGGGTAAGCCTGGTTTGCTCCTGAGACAGAACAGGGAAGGGTAGACAGTAAGAGAGAGAGGAAAGTGCACAGAGGGCAGAGAACTTTTAGAAGCTGGGATAACTGTTCGTGTTACTGCTGTAGAGATGAGAAAAATAAGGCTGAGTAACTCGTACTTCTGGAAAGAGTCTTACTTCTTTCCTGTGGCTTGATGTCACCTGTAATAGCAGCCTGATTTTCCAGACATTTGAACAAGTAGTAGGCAGAGGGACAATAATTGGCTTGTTGTCCTATAAAACTCCCAGTTCTGCCTATACCTAAGATAAGCCTTAATGCACTCTGCTTTATCCAAGTTGGACTGAATTTTAGAACTTTTGCCCATAATGCCTAGACTTCTAATTTAGCATTACAAAACTGACTCACTTTTCTTGTAAAATGACATCATTTTCTTTATTGTTATTATTTGCTCCCCAGCAGCTGGATTTTGAGAACAAGATGTTATATACCTTAAGAGTGGAAGCAACCAACACGCATCCTGATCCCCGCTTTCTTCAGCTGGGGCCATTTAAAGACACAGCTCTGGTCAAAATTTCTGTAGAAGACATAGATGAGCCTCCAGTGTTCAGCAGACCCTCTTACTTAATAGAGGTAGATGAAGATGCCAAGGAAGGAAGTATTATTGGGCAGGTTGTAGCCCAAGATCCGGATGTAACCAGGAACGCAATAAAGTAAGTCTTCCCCACAAAATAAAGTGATTTAGATGTAGATCAAATCTCACACACAAAATGTGATAAGTGCACAATGTAGGAGAGAGGCACTTGTGTAATTAGCCTCATAGGGGTCACTGAAAAAAGTGAAGCACAGAAATACCTATGAGAGCTTGTGATGAAATACACAGTTAACATAGTACAGGGGATGTTTCTGAAAGAGAGCCTATAGGCACCAGGTAAAAAGAAAGAAGGGATCAGCATTTAACATGCATCATGTTCCAGTGCCTTCTCCAAACCTTTCACAGGATTATGCTTTTATGCCACGTTTCCAAAGTCAAACTTATGTAAGATGCTCAAATTGTGTATTTCTACCTCCCTGCTGGTTGATAGCAGTCAGCCTTCTGTATTGCACCTTTCCCAGTTGCAATGAGGAAAATAGCCCCTTAGATATTACACTGCCAGTTTTCCATGGCTTAACTATTTAATGATCACCATTTGTACAGTATATTAAATAAGAAATGACTGTGAGAAAGTCATAACAATTAGAGGTAAATGTTCAGTGCTGTGAAATTGCTGTAACTGTTAGCCATCTGCTATTATTATCTGCAGTGACAAATACAGCACTGAAATTTGTATATTTGCCATGCAACTGATTAGCAAACCTGATTTCTACATTTCTGAACAAAATGGGTATGACCTGCAGCAGTACAATATGGAGAAGGTGCTACGAGTAGAGGAAGGAAATAAAATATTTTTAAGCAATCCATGTAAAAAACATGAATTTAACCTGTTTGTGGACAGCAGTTATTAGTATCTAGATCAGAAAACACCTATGAAAATGACTTTTTCCTTGATAAGAAAGAAAGAAGTAAAAAAAAAAAAAGTGTCATAAAATTAGATTTTAAGGATTTCCATCTTAAACAACAACATCATCCAAAGATCTTCTGATTTTGATGGTCCCTATGACATACCAAAAGTATCTGGTTTTCAAGTGATACTTGAAATATCTGATATGTGTGTCCTTTGACAGCTGAGCTCTCCAGAAAGCAATTAACTTGTGAAAATAGTATCTAAGGATGTTCACTTCCAGTTAAGCCATTGCTATTCTAAAATTCTCATTATAAGCTAAAATAAGATTTTGAATATCAGTCTTTAATAAACTGCCTACATAAATGCTTTTCCCTTCATCCCCCTCACTGGTCTTAAAACTTGTTTCTCAGAATTTGCTGTATGCTGGCCTCCTTGAGCAACTGCAAGGAAGCCTAGGTACTTGTTAGGAAAACATCCCCTATTAACCACACGTGAAATTAGAAAATTTTTATAGCTGGCCATAGGCTAAATTAGACACTGTAACAGTAGATAGTGACACTCAATTGTACTGTGTTTTGACAGATATTCTGTGGATCGACACACTGACCTTGACAGAATATTCAACATCTATTCAGGAAATGGATCCTTATTTATCTCCAAGCCGCTTGACCGGGAGGAAAGTCCCTGGCACAATATCACTGTCATAGCAACTGAAATAAGTAAGTTGGAGACTGCTTATCTAAGAACATTAGAACTAAAAAAAAAATAATTACAATTCTACAATATATATGATTTACCTTGTTTCACTAAGTTTGCCTTTAGTCAAATATTATCAATAGACAGAGTATCTTTAAGTTCAGCTTATTAGTTCAAGACTATCTCCAGACACTAGAGAAAAGGCAATTTGAAATTCTCAGGCTCAACAAAACTGTGTAGAGTAGGTATTAGACAAGTTAAATGATTCCCTGAGAATCCTAGAAATTAATTAGGTGCTGGAGAGATGTATTGGCTTTATCCTAAACTCAGCCTTTAGTTCAGGGGAAATCCTTGCGGGGGGGGGAGGGGGGGAAGGCCATGGCTGGACAAATAAAAATTTGTCAGAAATACTCTTTTAAGCCAGGGGAAAAATTATATTTAATTTCAATCTGCTGTAACCTATCTTAGGAAACAGCTTCAGCTGATGCCAAGACTAGAGACTTCTCTTCCAGGCTTGAAGTAAACGCCAGCCCTGCATCTTTCACCTGGATTCTTTCCTGTTTTGTTGGACACTTTTGTTGGACACATCTGGATGCCTCTCACCAGTCCTTTTCTTTGCAGCCAATTAATAACAGGCAGCAGAGGGGAAACAGAGAGAGATCCCTGTTTACAAGGAACAAATTTTCTCATCCTTATCCCTTTCTTCATCCTCCTTTACAGACTCCCCAGGCGTCTATGAGCTTAACAGACAGGGGGAGGTATTTGGAGAGATATATTATATACTTATTTTCAGGAAGACTGATACCTTTTCTTCATACAAGGCTCTGTCATTGTTTTGTAAAATACGGTCTCCATTTTCAATATTTCTGCTGCAAAATTCATCTGTAGCTATAGCTTGATCTAGGAGGTCAAGTTTGTGAATATCAACTGATGATAACAGCTACATATACCCATTTTTTGTTTTGACATTCAAAGGGGCAATAAGGGACAACTTTTATTAATTTTTTAGTTGACTGACACAATTTAACTGCTCTTCTGCTTTGAACCAGTAAATGCTACTCTTGACAGCTCTACCTCAGGAAACAACTCTCCGAAATGGATCATTTACTGCACTGATGTGTGGAATACAAGTCAGACATCAATAATAACTCAGTGGCCTGTTTTTAATGCAAATCAATTTAAAAAGACATTGCATTATTTCAGAATAAATGTACCATAATAACTTGTTTCAAAGATAAATATGGCTCTTAAGCATATCAAAGGTGTGCCAGGAGAAAATTAAACATAATTGTTTTAATATGATCAAGATGAATGAGCAATTCTGATGTGCATTGGAAAAAATATATGATAATTTCAGGTCTTCTCACAAATTGCTAGTCTTTACATTGAACTATGAATTATTTTCATTTTTCAGATAATCCTAAACAAAGCAGCCAGATACCTGTCTTCATCCGGATTTTAGACATAAACGATCATGCACCAGAATTTGCCAAATACTATGAAACATTTGTTTGTGAAAATGCAAAAGCAGGACAGGTAAACACATATTTATGTCATTAGAGAACTTGTAATGAAACTATCCTAGAATACTGTCAAGACTTCAGTGTATTATAATTTGAATGGATGAAGCCCAACACCTTCTCCTCATTTCCTGCCTTCTACTGGAACTACTAATTGATTCAAAGAAGATTTTAGGAGATAAAAGGATGTAAGATTTGACTCTAATACAACAAAATACAAAATCTTAGTTTAAGGTGTTTTTTTCCCCAATTATATCAGAAAATATCTTTCAGAACTAGTCCTGTATAATGCCACAAAAGATTTATATCATCAGATAATACCATTTCCTTCTGGGATTTTTTCCAAGCCTTAGCTGATATAATCATATCCTCAGATATAAAAAACAAGAAAATACTTTTTTATGCTTAAATTGAGGAGAAATATTTAAAAAGTCTTTATAAAATTAAAGGAGAATGCAACTGTTTTAACTATAAATTAAAATTCAGTATGAGACTGAGCTGAATTTAGGTAAAGCTTGTGTATATCCCTTTCTAAACTATCTATCTCTGCAATTCTTAACTGAAAATTATATAAATGTCACCTGAGGTTGACCGAGGACCTCAGGTCCTGTGGAACTGTAGAAAGAGGAAATACATGTAATTCACCAGTTGCAACTCAAATGACATTTTACCACTTATTTAAAAGGTACGTGTGTGTGTGTGTGTGTATTTATATATAAAAGGAAGAAAATAGGATATGGTGAACTGCTGGAATTTACATTCAACCCTGCTGATTCTTCATTTGTTGAAACTAATACTGGAAGTTAGGTAAATGGGTTACAAAGGCACAAGATACTTTGAGTGAAATCAGTTGACTTTGAAAAGGTTCTTAACCACTATTTTATTTTTTTGCATGAAAGCCTTATTATTTTTCATGCAAATGACATATACAGAGAAATATGTGTATCAACAGGCACTGATAAATTATATTAAAACAGCAGAGAGAATTATAACTTCAGAAAAATGAACAGGGTGCTCCTTTCAAAACAACTGCGGTTTATGATCAGAACTAGAGTCTCAACCAGCAATGTAAATTGTCACGTAAGCATACAGTTCAAGGCTTACTGAATAAGCAAAGCTATTCTTTAAGTCTTTATTTATTGTACGCTCATAATTTTGTTTTACAATTTATAACCTATTTTTCTAGCTGGAGTACGTTCAGATAATTCTAGCTATTTATACTGAATAATTGGCATGTGACCTAACTGCTGTCTATGCAACACAATCTCTTTACATGACTTGAAACTGAAGATAAATAAATCTGGAAATCTTAATATAATGACTGATATCACAAGTGTTATATTTTAATTGCATAATATGAAGAAAAGTTCCAAAGCTCCCAAATGAAAGTTCCAAAGAAATTAATCATGTGTAATATTCTGAACCAGCAAGCACAGATTCTGCTGTATATTTGAAGCAAGTTCAACCTCGGTGTATCTGTTGTCAGTTTCCTTAACCTAAATTCCGTGTAGTCCAGCATACTTGATGAAATATCCAATAATATATAGCATTTTATTTACCTTTGTGGTTAATTTTGTACATTTCTAAATACAGAGATGACAAAGGCCCATTAATTAGACAGATCTGATGTTATTCAGACCTCCCATCTGTTTAGCATATCAATGTAATTCCAGGAATTATTTTACCTAACTGAAAAAAAATCTACACAAACATTAGAAAGCTGGTATGCGTCAAGTGTAATTCCCCATAGCTCTTATTCCTGCTCATGTTATAGTCATACATAATTTGTGGTGCTTGTAGCTGCAGAATAATGGGAGCTCCAAACTTTTCTTCTCTTTTTTTTTAACAGTTGGATTCTTCAAAATCTGAATTCATATTTGGACACTGGCACATAGTTGACTTAGTAATTCAGAAACAAAGAACCCTCAATAAATGAGATTACTTTTATTTTGCTGCCTAAAATAGCAATGAATATAGAGATGCAAGCTTTAACATTTTGGGCACAAATGCTATGTCCCAGATAGCATGCACTCTGTACTGCTCATGTTTATCAGTCCTCCTCTAATAGCATAAAGATATTAAATCATGTTGTGTTCCTTTAGTACTATACTTCCTTATTTTAGAGACCAACTAAAGCAGCTGGCATACTAGAATCATAATTGCTTCCTGACACATCACAGTAGTGCTTCTACCTCTGGTGCCCACAGCAGGAGGGCCAGATCGAGAAGATAAATATATTTAGTTAATTTTTGAAAGATTTTTTCTTAATTGGGCCCAGATATTAATCACACTGCTCTCTAAATCTCAGTCACTTCAGGAAGCAGTCAGGATGATCAAATATTACTCTCCAAAGCCAAGAGACGTTACTCATTCTTAACATCAGCAGATATTAGAAGCTCCAGTTGTGTTTTTTAGGGTTGCCTTAGGAGGGTCAGGGGAGAGAAAAATCATATAGAGTGTCTCCTCCTTTCCTGCCACTCCTTCATCTCCAAACATCAGTATAACTTGGAAGAAATATTATCATTGGAGATATGTAAGCAACTGCATTCAGGGGCTGGAACAGATTTGTCACCATGTGAGCCCTATTCCAGTGGCTGGGCTAAAGAAGAGTATGACACAGCCTTCCCCTTGCACAATTTAGAAATCCCTAATTCTTCAGTGGCAGGCAAGAGCCCCAGCAACTCTTAGCGGGGAAGGCTCCAGTATAAGTTCTCTTATGCCCTTATGGGAATTCATTGGGAGTTTTTAGCTGGATTAGAGGATCAGTCTCTCCATGGAAACCAGGAAGAGTGGCTTGAATAGGAGACCGAATCAAGTTAAAAAAATTGGTGGTAACATTTCAGCTAATTTCAATATCCACTAATAACGATATTTTAAAAAAAAAAAACTTTTTTGGGGATGCTATATTCTTTCCTGCCATTCAGGGGCTCCCAAACATCAGAACATAGAAAGAGTTTGTTTTGTCTTTCAGAAAGCTGGCAGATTTTTCTCTTCACTACTCTGCATATACTCCCATTTTAAGACAGGGCAGAAAGAGATGACATTCTTTGCATGACCATTTCTAATTATCAGTCTCAAACTGTTTATGCATTATAGCCTCCTTTTTTAGGTAGACACCTGTTGGCTTAATTTGGTGAGAGACCCGTGTTAATGCTCTGTCTCTCTCTTAAAGTAAGAATCTGAATCAAGGGAGAATTTTCCGACTTTTGACAAACGTTCAGTCCTGCTTTAAAACTGTCAAAATATGTATGAAACAAGGCCAACACTTGAGAAACATATTATTTTTCATTAACAGGCATGAAACTTCATTCAGTGGTAGATATTTTGGAACATTTCATAAGATATAAAGTATCAGGATCCAAGGTCTGTTGAGCTTACACACATGACGCTGGCATGACTGCTGCTGCTTTCTGTAGCTAACATCATGCAGTAACATATGCTAGAATAATGCCCAAACATGTTTGATCTCTCAGCCTTCTAAATGACAAGATAGACATCCACTTACAACTGGACTGACTTGAAAATGTCTCTCTAGGGGAGCCCTTAAACCATATTATCACTTCACTTGTAGAGAAGTACAGCTGCTTCCAAATGTTCTACAAAATCTTCATCTCACAAGCTTACCACTGTGCTACGTTATTAGCATATTCAAGAATGGCCCTGCTCAAGCATATAGGCAGGAAAAGGAGCAAGGGAAAGACAGAAGAGAAACAGAAAGATGCTCTCCCAACTTTCTCCCCGTAGCCTCCACTAACAATTATATTCTGGTGATTGTTAAAAGCACAAGCTCTCCGACAGTATGTTTTCCATAGTTTATCACAGATAGAGTGTGTGGAGAGGTCTTCTTCGATTCACTGAAAAAAATATTTGCAGAACAAAACACATTTAATAAATTTCAAAAAACGACAAAGACACTGCTCTGAGATCCGAGACTTGCTCTGTTTTCTCCTGAACCACTTCTAAAAAAAGCAACAAACAAAATCAAACAGCAAAATGCCACATTCATTTTGAAAGTGACTAGTGATATTTTTTAAGTCTTATCTTGGAAGCCGGCAAAACTAGAGAAAATGACAGTTGAAAAATTGCCCTCTGTTATACAACATTCAGGTTTAACTAAGGACATAATATAACAAGAATCAAAGCCCAAACACTTCAAATGAATTCAAGGCCCACTCCTCTGCAGGTATATAATCCCATACTTGAAGAATAACAAAATTCAGCAGCTGTTACTGTTAAGTATCTCTAGCTTAACAGTGTCAGTCTCCAGTGACCTTACTTCTCCGACACTGGAAATACAAATTCCATCCTAAATGACAACTGCATTGCTTTAAAGCTTCAGAAAGGCACTGTCTGAAAGAGCACAGAATCCTTAAAGTGCTGTAAAAGTGACATTATTTTTCACTATCTTATTTAAATTGAATTATATAAGAAGGAATTTTTTTAAAAAAAAGGTTTTAAAGATAGATTCCAATGACTAATTATGCTGGCTGATATCTTGAAAACAAGCAGCAGCAAACCGCATTGGGAACATTCTGATTGTCCAAAATTTTGTTTTATCGGGAGACATTTTTAACCTGAAAATATGTTATGTCTGTCCTTCCATTGTCCTCATCTTTTTCATTTTCGTCAATAAACTTTTAATGAATGAATTTAAAGCATGTTACTACATTGTTAAAAGGTGTACCCTGGAGTCAAGATGCATCTGTGATTCCTACACAAGACATATCAAGCTAGTGCAGACTGAAAAACTTACTTGAGAAGCGACTAGCTAATGCTGATCTCTATACTGTTAAAAATGCGCTGCTAGCTTAGCTTTACTTTAGCAGCCGCTATACTTCCTTTTAGGGGCAAACCCAAGGCTGAGCCCATGACCCAGGAGATTCCTAGCAGCGCAGCTCACTGCGCCCAGGAGCGCAGTCTCAGGGACACCAAGGACACACTCTGAAGTGCTCAGGGACCCTTATTATTTCAAAATGTCCCCAGCTAGCTCTTACTCACTTTCTGCCTTTCAAAGAGATTAAAAAAAAAAACAAAAGAATACAGGCTACACCTAGGGAAGTACTAGATATATGTAGGGAATCTGGAATATTAGGCAGTCTACAAGGCAGCCCTGGGGACAGACATCAGTGAACACCATGCTTTTGACTGGTTCAGATTACTTTTTCAGAGTTGAATATAAATATGAAGAATATAAATACCTATAACAGAGCCAGAGTATAACCTAAAATCACGTTTGACTACAGCTTAAGTCATGGCCTTAAGAACACAGTAGTCTGGAGAAAAAGATAAAATAGTATTATAGCCAAAACATACAGATGCCACTGGGAAATAGGCACAACCCCTTTACTGGAATCCCTGGCCCTATCATGAAATAAATTCTCCAACTTCAGTGGCAATAACTCCTCATTCATGACTCCTCCTACTTCATCCTGAGTATAAAAGAAAGAGCTTTATGTCAATGGTTAAGATTGAGTTTTCAGTATCCTCAAATAGGTGACCACTAAGAACTTGAATTTACCCAATAAAATCCACTAAAAAGAATGATTCTCTTTCCTTAAACACATACCCAGAAGCATATGTGCGCACACGTGTGCACACACGCAGAGCAGTAGAAGGAATGACAGCAAGGCTGCATTTTCGAAACTGAGCTCAGTCACATGGGAAGTGGAGGCGGGGGGTGAGAGTACCCTTTTTCTCCTTTAAGTCTGATGTACTTGAATCATATTAGAGTAAAAGCCATTTTCCTGAAATAACTTCCTTCATAAATCTTACAGTGTCCGAGATCTTTCTCCAAAGTCTTGGTGAAGAGTGATCGTAACTCAATGTCCAGAACTGCTTTAAAAGGGAAGAATGCATTTCCAACACGAAATTACAAAATGTACACAAAACAACACTAGATTTATCCTTAAAAGTGCTACATTCAAAAATAGACACATCTCTCTAATTTCTGCAGTGATTATCATTAACACCATCTCTTTTATTTCCAGCTATATAGCTGGAAAAAAACCTTAATTAGATAACATTTCTAATTTCCTTTCACCTATTTATCATTTGGAAAAATTCACCTGCAATCTCCCTTTCTCATTGTTCTTTTATTCTTGCATCTTTCCTGGTGGAAGAACAGCTGGTTGTCAATTTATGCAGCCAATAGCTAAAGCAGGTAATAGCTTTTTTTTCTTCCTTCAGCCTTACGCTCAACAATAAGTTTTCAATGTAATTAGGTTCCTCTATGCCTGGTACAATTGTCTCCTCCATGTGATTTGCACATGAAGGGAATCAAATCCAGATCCTACAAACATCCCACTGATGCATCTCAAAAAGCCCCACGATACTCAACCGCAATTTTTGGTAGCTATTGTATCCAGATATTTTCTCCTCAAATTTTTCAGCAAGTATTTGCACAAATATTATCACATATTTTAATTCTCTTTCTCGTACTTGATGCTTTTACTCTCTCTCTATCTTTTCAAACTTTTAAAAATATGAGAAGAAAACTTTCTCATGTCAATTTGGTATTTTGTCATAAAGAAGCATTGTTGCAGTAATATTACATTTTTCGTTAAACAACAGAAAACTAAGTTGAAACACCATCTTGGTCTCAGTCTATACACAGCCACTATCAAAGGGATATTGCAGCAAACAGAAGAACAATGTGACATTTGAAAAATATTGGTATAATTAGAGCATCAGTGACATACTGAGCAGGTTGCTTTGCTGTAAGCAATGATTTGGCTAACCTTGGGAACTAGCTAAATCATTTTAAAAATTTCCTCAAGTGCCACGATCGTCATATGCTTTAAAAATGAAGAGACCTTAATATGTAGTTACGATTCTAATTGCACTCAGAAAAGCAACATAATCCTACTTTCAGCATGGTCTCTTCCTCATGTACAAGGCTGTTGTTTGCAAATTCCCTTGCAAGTTCCTCCCTCATGACAAGCTATCCAGGAATATAACAAATAAAAAAAAAAAGTAGTACGGGGAAAGAAAAGCTCTTGCTCTTGCAGTTGTTTTTGAAGGAACTCCCAAGAAGTGAATGAACCAAACTCGGACCTTCTTTACTGTTATTTTTTATGCATCTTATAGTACAGCACTAGCAACAGAAGGTTTCTAGCTTCTGAAAGTTATAGTAATAAAAATATTTTGGTATTTTTAGCAGCCCTATAATTATGCTTGCCCAATACAGTGTTTTGAGAGGTACTGAGTATCTCCAAAAATTTAACTTTGTCCTCAAGCCCCACTCAAACTGATGTTCAGAAAAGCATACGAACAAAAGCCTTTCCCAACTTGATTGCTGCAAAGCTTAAAAGTCGTATCAATGCTATTCGTCAACTGCTGTTTTTCTTGACGAACTCATGCTATGTGTGCCCTGGAAATATCAGAGAAACATGCGGCAAAGTAAGCCTTTGATAACAAGTAGCTTTGACGTCTGTAGGACTGTAGGACACCTACATGCTGGAAGCAGTTAGAAACCTCAAGGCAAGCATTGATTCCCCCCACAGCTTTCAGGGAAGCAAGTCTGACTGCTGAGCACCTCTCTATGGTTAAGCGCTATACGAATTTCTTTTTTGGACCATATCAAGTTGCAGCTGCCTAAAGGGAAGTTTACTCCCATCCTTATACCATAAAGCTTCCCATCTTCTGATAAAATTCAGATATGCCCTCAACAAGCCAAGGTAGATCATGGGTCACTCTACAGTGCGAGGGAATGCAAAGGACATAGCTGTCTCACATTGTACATTGAAGTTACTACTACTTATGCAATAGTACATGATGTTAACTGTTGCAAGTCATTTCATAACCCACAGCTATTCCTGGCTAGCTTTTCCTTCCTCACTTCTGCAACTTTTTTCCTTAGTCTCTAGCAGTGGTTTAAAATAATCAGTAAAAAAGAAGTGTGTGTGGATGTATGCACACAGGAACACGTATTTGCACACATTTTCATGTGACAGGGAAGAATGTCCAATTCAGAATTACCGTTAAGGCCTCTCTTTTTTAATCCACTCCACTTCGAACCTAGGCTGGTGCTATTATCATTCTCTCCCAGCTGGAGTTGACAGCCCTTTTTAGGGGAGCTATAAAGCTCCACAGCAGACGTTTCACTCAAGGAGGAAGTAAAGCATCTCCCTTTACTACCTTTGGACAGCCGAGCGTCCTGCCAGTGGAGTACTCCAATTTATTGCCTGGAGCAGATGAGGTGGACTGGGAATTACATCCGCTTAACACCTGGTTTACACCCTACTCTGTATCTTCACTGTATAAGGCCACAGAAGGTTTATGGCTTATTCAGAAAGGCAGTTGTATCTGTACCACTGCAAGACACGGACTACAAATCAAAGCAGATGGCTGTCTTGCAATGAGGACTAGGCCCTTTTTTGCCCTCTGCTATGTGTTTACAGTAGACTGCCTTTTTTTTTTTTTTTTACTTTATTCTCTATGTTTATGGGGAGAACATTTGGCCTAGGACAGCAGTTTGTGTCTTCAGATAAAACTTCAGTGGATTTTTACTGTACTCGAAAAGCAGAGGGCTTATTTCAGACAAACAAAGTGTCTAAAAGTTATGAAGTATTGTCTTCCTCTTAGCTGATACAGACTGTGAGTGCAGTTGACAAGGATGAGCCTCCTCGAGGACACAAATTTTTCTTTGAGTTGGTGCCAGAATTTGCTGCTCATCCAAACTTCTCCATCATCGACAACAAAGGTAACTGCTGATCAGTACCCTCTCCTCTACCCCATGAGACATGCAGCTTCATCCTGCAACATTCATTTATTCTACACACCAGGAATTATGACTAGAAGAAATGGATACAGCCGCAGCAAGATGAGCACATACCTCTTGCCAGTCATAATCTTTGACAATGACTACCCGATCCAGAGCAGCACGGGCACACTGACCATTCGTGTGTGTGCCTGCGACAGCCGAGGCAACATGCAGTCCTGCAACGCTGAGGCCCTGCTCCTCCCTGCTGGCCTCAGCACAGGGGCACTGATTGCCATTCTCCTCTGCATCATTATCCTGCTGGGTAAGCGCCTTCAATGAGATGTTTAATAAACTACGCAAAGCGCTGGTCACCTCTTGACTCCTGATATTCTCCAACCCTTTATTCATGTGACACTGCAGAGAAAGATTTCGTACCTAACATGATTTTTTTTTTTTAATCCTGACTCTTTTCTGAAATGGGAAAGGAGGTGGCAGAGTGGAAAAAGAAGTTCCTTATAGGCTGTTTGTCATTATTACTAATCATAAAATGTAAAAAAATAGTGTTTGCAGGAAATAAATTTGAAAATCTAGGACCAGTTTTAGATACCATGCTCCTATGAGTAATATTATACCTTACAAACAGAGCTTCACTTACATCTAGGACTTTAAAATCATACTCCTGAGGCTGAATGGTATGTTTATCAGTAATTAAGAGATAGTCAATTACACTAGCTATTTAATCATGAATGATTTGCAATTTTTATTCTCAGGAAATATTTAGCTGAAAAGTGTAGCCGTGTTCAAATGCTTGTAAGTGGTAGTGAGCGCAGCTAATTGCATGAAGTGCGAGCAAAGAGGTGAGATGGATGGTTGGGAAGCAGAAGCACTAGAAAGGTGAAGGGATAAATGAAGGACCTAGAATAAATGCTAGCAGGTAACCTGGCTTTAAGGACATAAAAATTGCCGCTCACAAGTTTTACTTACTGGAAAAGTGACTCTTTAGAAAGGAGTCCCTCATTACTCCTGCCCTCTTTACTTTCCTGTTAAATTTTGTGGTTGATCTCTTTCTCTTCCCACATGTCCTAGCAAAAAGCTCACCAAGGAGAAGGTGACAAGTGTACACTTCAGTTAATGTATTTCTAAGAACACTTTTTTTGTTTTTTTAGACCACTAGCAAGATCAACTGGACTCAGACTAGCTATAGTAAATATTCAGAGGACCACAGAGGAAGTTATGTACCTGGCTGTAAAAGACACTTTTTCCACAATAACCTTTTAGTGATCTACCCTCACAGTTGCCTCTATTCTTTCACAGGAAGTTCTTAAACCCCTCTGTGTAGGCTATTACTTGTCTAGCATTCGGAAAACTTCAAAAGAATGGCTTCCATACACATACAACCCCACAAACAATATAGAACAGCCTTTACATTCACAACGTTGTATGCGGAAGGTCGCGGTTCACCTCTCTAACCTCAGCACGCCCATTTTTCCTTTTTATTCACTATCACTCAAGTTATTTAGGGTAAAAAACTTTGCTCCTATGTCTAAGCACAAGTGCTCGGCACAGTTGTAATGTGTTAAGCATGGCTTGGCATCCACCTTTATGCCTCATCCACAGATGATTTTGATGGCCTCCACTGTTTACTCCAGCTATTGGAGTTAGGCTCAAGTTCTTAAACACATTTCAGCATTGAATTCTTACTGAAATCAATGGCATTTAGGTACCATAATGTATTTACAAATCTTAACACCAGTTTTTCATGTCCCTCTGTAGAGTCTCACTTCAACTTCAATCCCTGCCTCTCCAAAAGGAAAGGCTATTCAGCTAACATTTCCTAAACTAGGGGGATCATGTATTTGAAAAGAAATAACAGCAGAGATTGTATTTCAGTTCCTGCAGTCATCAAAACCAAAAAGAGTTTTGTCAATAATATTGAGAGCTGAAGGCTTTCATGTTCTTATTTTAAGAGGATTTGTGGATCCTATTTTCAAAAGTGAATTAGGCACTCAGGAATACCTAAATCACTAGCTTTCAAGAGCACAAATTACTTTTGCAAAGGAAATACAGCTACTTTTGATAAAATTACCTTGCAGATGGCCAGACGGCAGCACTGCACAATACTAAATCGAAGTCAAGCATTAGTAGGACAATTTATTTTCACTGCTTTTCAACTTCAGCTTAATAGTAAAATGTTTATCTATCTCATTTATATATATATATATCTATATATCCATATATAATATTTTAATTATTATTTTCATAGCTATAAAAGAACAGATGCTTTGACTGCTATACATTAGTATTTTTCTTTTTTACTTTAACTTGGAGCTAGCTTTTGTCCTTATTTTCCTATTAATTTTCCTATCCTAGCCTTAAAAATTTTCATGAATCACAGATAATGTAAAATATTTGATCCTTTATTTCACTGCTAACTACCCATCTCTTCATTCATCTTTTGTTTCATTTCAGTATTAGTCGTCTTGTTTGCAGCCCTCAAGAGACAGAGGAAGAAAGAACCCTTGATTATCTCAAAGGACGATGTTCGGGATAACATTGTGACCTACAATGATGAGGGAGGTGGGGAAGAAGATACCCAGGCTTTTGACATTGGCACACTAAGAAATCCAGAAGCGAGGGAGGAAAGTAAGATGAGAAGAGATGTTATCCCCGAAACCATATTTCAGATAAGACGGACTGCACCTCTTTGGGAAAATATTGATGTCCAAGATTTTATTCATCGAAGACTAAAGGAAAATGATTTAGACCCAAGTGCACCTCCTTATGACTCGCTGGCAACGTATGCCTACGAAGGAAATGATTCTATAGCAAATTCACTCAGCTCTTTAGAATCGCTTACCACGGATGGTAACCAAGATTACGATTACCTCAGCGAGTGGGGACCTCGGTTTAAAAAACTAGCAGATATGTATGGTGGAGAGGAAAGTGACCGAGATTGAGAAAGTAATCTGTGACCTGGTCAGTGTTAGTGGAATTAATGTTTATGTTGCTAGATAAAGTGGCCTACTCTCTTACTTTGGGGAAAAAAAAATATTACAAAAAATAGATGTTGTCTTAGTAAGAGTTTGCTTAATCCATAAGTCAACGTGAATGAATATGAATGATTTAGATTTTTAAAAATCTAAAATTCACCCTCTCTGCCTGAAAACCTCTGAAGAAAGGTTTTCATTGACAATAAAAATACAATAAAAGGCTTTTTGTGCCTTTAATAATGAGATAGAAAGTTTGTTTGTTTTTTTAAATTGCTTTGCATTACCTTTCCTACTAGCTGGGACATGGTACACCTGTATTGTAACATAATCTCAAAAGTATATTTAAGATTAGTATTATTGCCATATTTATTGAGTTAAAGAATGTCTGTGTGTTGATTCATCATGATATTTTTATATATGTATATTTATATTTTTGTATTTTTATTAAATAAATTAGTATTTATAAAAACACTGCTTAGTACGTTGTTAATCACAAGGGACTGTCCAGTCTTTTTGAATAACAGGAAATACTTGTTATGCAATACTTCATTTGCAAATGTATCTCCTTAGATTGGATTTGTGATTAAAATGTATGTGCAAGAACAATATTGATAGAGTGCTCTGTGATGAGAATGGAGTATAGGAAAAAGAAAAATGATTTTGAAAAAATGATTATAAATTAATGCAGTCTGACTTACAATGTATATTACTATATGGCATATGAATATATTTTGCTTATGAAGCTCCCCCGCACGTACTTTCTTTCATGAGCAGGTGACCAGTGAGAGGATTAAACAGATATATTCTTGGGAGTTTAAGGAATCAAAAAGGTTTATTCTGGTAGATAAAAAGTAATTTTATAATATGTCTTTTAAAATTTTGAATAAGTAACCGAACATCAACAATCAAGAGTCTATTGTATTCTAATTTCGTTTTTCTTTTTGATGCAATTAAGTAAATCAGCCCTCTGTTACTAATAACTTCTTTTAAAATCAAAGTGAGCTTAGCAACAAAAAACAAAGTCCAAAATTCAGTGTTTTTTTCCTCCAAAGAAAATATTCACATGTATATGCAATGTATTTGCATATATTTTACAGCATTAGTGGCAATGATCAAGTACCTGTGTTTAAAATCTGTTTGCTTGACTATGCAATCAGCTTTTAGGCAATGTAAGTTTTCCCTTAGGATATGAGTAATTTACCCGGATCACCTGTGAAAGAACTGAGAGTTGCAAAGTTCAGCCACATTTGTTAAAAATAAAACAACAACAACCCTGTATATCAGAAGAAGAATCAAAGAAATCAACAGAACAGGATCAACAATACTATTCATTGCATTTTGTCTTTTATACTGACTTTAAGGAAAATACAGATGTATAGATATCTAAAATAATCACATATAAAAATTTTCTCTAGATTACTTGATTATTTTTCAGACTGTTTTAAAAAGAAACTTAAAACATCCTCAGGTTTGTGCTACCTATCAGAATTCTTTAAAAAAAAAAAAAAGAAAAGAAAAAAAGAAAAGAAATTGCAAGCACATAGCACTTGTTCATTAGGACAATTTTCAGTACTGCAAAATAGCTGCATTTTTTCGTAAATATGTACCTTCTGTATTCTGCATGGGTGAGGTAATATTTATCTTTTTAAAGCCACCCAGAACTTTGACAAAAGAAAGAATCCCACATAAAAGAAGCTGAAGTCTGGGAAACAGGACTTCAAAACCCTCTTCTTCTATTTACTTTCCTGTTTATTTTGCTGACCCTATATTAAGCAGCCGTACCTCTTCTACCTAAAAGAAAATCTAATGTGGCCACAGTTGCTCTCTCCTCTTACTGAAAAGCTAATAAAGAGGCCTTAATGCAAGGTCACTTCCCAACACATAGGAACACATTCCTGCCTAATATTTTCCTCTCTACTGTATTGTCTTTCAGATTTTTTCCTCAAAGATCTCTCTTTCTTACTGTTTAGCTTATCTCTGTACCACATTCTCTTCCCAGCCCCAGGGATGCATCTCAGGATTTCTGATACTGAAATTTCTGGGGAGGTTTCCAAGCAGACGCCTAAGCAGTTCACTGTGAGCTGCATTTCAAGTCTACAACAGTATGTTGCAGGCAAAAACACGTTACCAATGCAAACGAGGTAAAATAACAAAAGAGGCAGCCATGTATATGGATGTGATGTTGTAACAAGACATCAGCATAAAGGTGTAATGCAAGCTTGATGTCATATGCATATATATTATTTGTGCCTTTCGGAGGCGAGAGAGAAAGCAGAAGCCTTATGGTATATATGTTATTAACAGTGCTGTGAGCAA